AAAAACAATATTTGTTGCATACGAAAGTATAGCGGTTTCTTTTTAACCGACTTCTTAAAAAGGAGGAGGTTATCAGTTCGACGGAATATTGTTTTTGTTTTTTATTTTTTATTTTTTATGTATGTTACCGCATAACTTTGGACCACGTCAACCGATTTCGATAATTCTTTTTGCATCGGAAAGGTAGTAACCATAAGTGGACGTGGCTACGCCCATTTTCCAAAAATTTATAATATTCTTATTTTTCGCCTAAAAATTATTTTAAATATCAATTTTGAGTGAATAATCTTCAGTAGTTACTAAAATATCGCAGTTATCTCAATTTTTACTCGAGTTATCGTGTGCACAGACGGACGGTCGGTGCATAAGTGCGCTCGGGTATAAATATATATATATATTTCATGATCCAATGATCGGATCTAAACCAGATTAGTATGAGACACTACCTTTCCGATGCAAAAAGAATTATCGAAATCGGTTGACGTGGTCCAAAGTTATGCGGTAACATACATAAAAAAAAAAAATATTCCGTCGAACTGATAACCTCCTCCTTTTTGGGAAGGCGGTTAAAAAAGAAACACACAAATCTGCAGACTCCTGTAAACATATCAGTTTTTGGCCACTTTCATCTTCCGCCAGCCCAAAGTGTAATGTCAGGACTTTTAAGAGACTTAAATTTTAAAGGCATAAATCATGATAAAAATATAGTAAGGTAGAACCACTGAGAGGCACTTTTAAAATTCTTGACGTTTCCAAGCAAGTTAATTTTTAAATTTACTCACAAACTCACGCAAACATTTTCATTTTCAATCTCAAGCAACAACAATTTCGAGCAATAGGTTTATTCGCGTATCGAAAACTATCAGATTTTCTTGTTCGCGTACACAAAAATCCACCAAAGTAGGGGAAATTCAGAGATACAATTTCATTCGAATTTTGCTGTTGAGAGTTTTCTGCTGGAAGAATACGCGAATACACCTAATTTAAATTTTTTATTTTCAATTTTATATCATTTTAAAATGCTGGCGAAATAAATATTATGGTTTTTATTTACGCGCGAAACTACTTATATTGGTGACCCCGACAAACAACATGCCTGATGAAGGAGATTTAAAGGATAACCCCGATCAAGCCTTTTTTGTCAGCAGCATTGCCCGGAGCAACAAATGACAACGAATAGCGAAGCCCGAATTGTGGTTAGCGCAGGTGGAGTCTCAATTTGTTGCAACGGGAATCAGCAGCAACCGATCAAAATATCATACCGTGGTAGCCGCTATTGAAAGCGGCGTACTCGCACAAATTATTGATTTAAAACTACATCCCCCATCAAGCGATATGTACCAAATATTAAAAACGCGTATTCTAGAGCAATTCTTGGATTCGAAAAAAGGAATCAAGAAATTGTTGCAAGACCATGAACTAGGTGACATGAGTCCGTCATATTTGCTACGTGAAATGCGCCAGCTAGCAGGTACTGAAATGAACGACAGCATACTGAGGTCAGTTTGACTTAGCAGATTGCCAAAGGGCGTGCGCTCCATAATAGGCCCGTCAGAATGGGTACTTGTATGTCAATAACTGAAAAGTATGCGAAGGAAGTGGCGTACGTACCATAGAGATACGCCACAATGAAGGTGTTGCGTCTGCAAACAAAAATCAGCTGTTCCTTATGGCCGCGTACTTGGGGTATACACAAGTCAATTTTTCAGATACAATAGCAAAACATTCACATTTTTTACTAATATATTCCCACTTCACTTGATGTCTTCATCACTGCCTCTGGCTTATCGAAGACAGTTTATTGTCTGGATGCCAACTTTACTCAACCAATGTGTAAATTATGTGCATACTCTCATTGGTCTTGTCTTGTGTAAACGCGGGGTTATACAACTGTCAGCAGTGATGGACTAGCGTGCGTCAAAAGCTGGGTGTTGGCCAACGTTCGTTGGGTCCGTCGACGCAAGGGTTGCCAATCTGACACTCTCTATGCAAACACACACAGTCTACTCTACTGTCAGTTTCATCCTTGAGCGGAACGTACGCAAAGTACCGATTCTGACGGGGCCATAACGAGGCGCTTGACAAGGTTGATTTGTTGGCAGACAAAATTATTGAGGTTTGGCGACGGCCCGCAAAGACACGCGGTAGCTTCACGAAGCGATGACGAGCATTACGACTTTTTCCGGAAGATGGCGGTGCTAGCAAAAGAGGTAGCCGAACTGAAAGCTAAGCTTCAACCGCTGTCTTTTAACTGTTCTTCACAGACGTTATTGTCTGAGAGACCGTGCGATCATAAATATTTTTATTGCTCGAAAACAAATACCGGGAACCCTCGCATTCCTTCAGTAGCTTAAGGATTTGTTATTACTAGGGATGTGCCGGGTATCCGGTATTTTGCATTTTTCGTAAAACATGGTTAAGAACAAATATGTAGAGAATTTCATTTCCCACATTTCTTATATATAAGGTTTTTTAAAAATTGCATTTTTTATTTTAAAAAATTTGCAAAAACTGAAAATATTTTACATTGTCACGATTTTCCCCATTTTTTGACAATTTCTGTTGAAAATACATAGCATATTGAAATTCCAAAGCTGTCGAAAATTTCATTCTTCACAACTTTTATACCTACATATTTTTTTTTGTACGACGATTAGATCACGGCCGGGAACGCGATAAACATAGCGATGTACCCGATGCGCCGTAAAACTCATTTCCACACCTCCGCTGAGGTAGAGTTTTTCGGCGCGTTTTTTTATCGTGGATTTCCCAGTAAGCCTAATCCACGGGCAACGCTTTTTTTAATGAAAGCAGGTGAAGGTGTGGAAATCAGTTTTACCGCGCATCCCGTACATCGCTATGTTTGTCACGTTTTCGGCCGTAATCTAAGCGTCGTACAAAACAAATGTGAGTACAAAAGTTGTGGAGAATGAAATTCTCTACAACTTTGGAATTTCATTATGCTATGTATTTTCAAGAGAAATTGTCAAAAAATGGCGAAAACCGTGATAATGTAAAATTTATTCGTAGTTTTTGTTAACTTTTCAATAAAAAATACTATTTTTAAAAAACTTTCTATATAACAAATGTGGGTAGTGAAATTCTCTACATATTTGTATTTAAGCATTTTTTACGAAAAATGCAAAATAAGCTTGCAAATTGCAAAAAAAAACAAAACAAAAAAACTTAAATCCAAGATGGCGGAATTTTGTCAAGTGAAATTTAGGGGCAAGACTGAGGATCCATGATCTAAGTGTCAAATAGAAGTAAACTGCATCAAAAAACTACTGTTATAATTTTTTTTAAGAAAAAGTCTAATTTTACTGGGCAACAGAATGTAAAATAGAAAATAGGCATTTTCTAAAGCAAACTCTTTTAACAAGCAAAATTATTATTTTTGAGTAATTATATTTGAAGTTACTCGTATAATCATCGTTTAACCAACTTGCTCGAGTAATCGAATAATCCCACAGCCCTAATATACATATATAAACATATTAGAGTAATTAAACAAAATTTTCTATTTTTTAAATCCCTCTTCAATACCTCCGCGGGATGTCAAAAGATGTCTGTTAAACCATGTTCACATTATCGTAATTTACGGCTCATTTGTAATTAATAAGCAAGTCATGCTGAAATCGAGTAATTTCGCTTTGTAAAATCTGTCAATAAATTTAATAGAAATGAGATAATTTATCATAATTTAAGAAACAAATGCAGAAAAAAAAGGTTTCTAATTTTTTTTAGCCCCCACTAAAATGATGTTACTTATTTCTTATGTAAATCCTAACAGTATCAATACATTGTGATATTGTATGCAATAAATTAAGTTTTGATCTACCCTAATATTCGTGCATTAACATTTTACAAACAAATTCATGCGTATCTACCTACTGAAGTGGCTCAGTACTCCACTGCTTGTCGCTCTAATCTAGCCTCTCTCTTTTCTTCGTTCTTCGCTAAGAACCAGTGTTGCCAGTTTAATTTTTGAGGCTAGATCTAGCCTTTTTCTTTGTCGTTTAGCTTCGAAATTTAGGACTTAGCTTCGTGGCTTTTTTCTAGACTTTTCTTATTTTCAAACTAGCATTTCTTAAGGACAATCCTCCACAATATTTGTAGTAGCACTAAATTATTGTTCCGGTTCAGTTTTGCTTGACGAAATGTTAAGCGAATATCACCCAGCGGCATCGCCCCGTCTGACGAAATTAGCTTACCGATCTCGTTCTGTTTATACTTTAACAGTTTTTTCAGGGGCTCTCAAGTGTACCTGTAAAACCAGGAAATGCATGTTATTTCGTAGAACTCCACAAGACGTCAAGCCCTACATCGGGAAGGAGAAAGGTAATTAGTCGCCGCTGCTATGCCGTAGCCATTCGGGGGTCCTTGCCTCTTCATTGCCTCTACTATTGCGTCACATGCTGCTGACCATTTTTCGCTGCTTTGTAGCATAGCCTCGACGAGTGACTTTGACGTGAAACTCTCGTCAGATATGTTGCGAAGTTTGCATCTGGTACTGTCAAATCGCATACACTCAAAAAATTCGTCTTCTATAACACTTCCTCCACTTTGTTGGCTCACCGAAGTTGTTAGCAGTGTTACCAGGACCTCAAAAATAAAAAAAGCTAGATCGGCCAAGTTATGAGTTAATGAAATGTTGAAAAGGCTGGCTTTTCTCAACCTTTTTTTGGCCATTTAGCTTTTTTATTTGGCCGATCTAGCTTTTTTATTTTTGAGGTCCTGGTAACACTGCTAACAACTTTGGTGAGCCAACTGCTACTCAACCTATCGATCAGCAAACAACCCCGCGCGCTCCTTTCTTCTCAAACGATATTTCCATTCAAATATATTTTGAACTAGAGTTTGTCATCGTCGACTTCATATCTTCATCTTTATTTGCCATTTTGGATCACGTCTCTTTCCCCGTCTCTTGTCTTAGCTTAGGCTTCAACTAATCATCATCATGACTTGCCTTCATACTAGAAGTTCGCACTCTTAAAGCTAATCAAGCGAGTTTCAGTCAGTGGCCAGCCGTCGGTGAAGTGAGTAACTTGTTAACGTCTACTTATCGCATGTTTTGTGTAAGCAAGCGAAGAATCACAAAATTTGTTTATCGCATACCAACAGACGAAAAATAATAAGCAAACAAAGCGTTACAAACGAAAAAGTGGAGGAAGGGAAAATGTTTGTGTGAATTTCGCAGCCTTTTGGTTTTAATATTATATAAGTTAAAGCTTTTGAGTTATGCAAAGCAGCTAAACCAGGCAATTTGGCGTGTAAGCTGAAAAATAGACCAAATCGAAGATATACAAAAATGAGTTCAAGGGCTAACCAGTTTCAATGTGTTGACAAATTTTAATAACGCGATAAAACAAACCATAGAAAAGAAAACTACGGGTCTTACAAAATGTCAGATACTCAAAACAATAATGTCCTGCCCAGTGTTGGTAGAGAAATTAACGATAATTTCTTGGATTCAAACCCATCTAATAATAAAAAACATAATAACAACAACGTTTGTAGTTTAAATAAAAAATCTACAACGAGTATTTGTAGCAATGATGAAGTCATCGAGGATGGATTCGACTATAGCGAAACCGACCTGTTAAACGAGTTGAATGCTAGCGACGAAAATGACAGCGTCGACGCCGAAGTCGACGCTAACGTCGGTGAAAAAAAAGAGAACTGTCAAAAAAATTGCAATGAACTAATATCAGTCATACACGTAACTGAGAAGGAGAAGAGAGAAGGAGAGGAAACAAAGAATACCGGTACAACTTATTTTATTGATACTGTAGACGATACACATTCTCATGATGTCGCAACAGTGTCGACCGTTGCTGCCTGCGTCGACAGTGATTGTAAGCCAATTGCGGCTACTGATAATGCGACAACCGCTGCAAGTGATAAGCATGAAGGCACACCGACTAGCTTAGATTTGCGGAGCACGGAGGAGGCGAATTTAATAGTAGGTGAAGTTGACTCATATTGTACTATTACACCACGACGAATAGTTGATGTAGATGCTGAGGCCAACCAAGTATTGAGACGCAGTTCATCGACACACGCGGAAAGCAATAGTGGTGCTGCTGGTATTGGTGTTGGCGACAACAACTCTCAAAATGATGAAGGTTATTATTATGCTGATGAGCCTGAAGATGAATTGATTGTTCAGTTCCTGGGAGAAGCCAATCGTATTGTAAGCAAATATTTTGCATTGATTACAGCACACAATCGTGTGAATACTCATTTAGGGTAAGACTTTATATAGCGAAGCTCAAAGTTATGTATGTACATAATTAACCGTCAATTTCAAACACCTGTCGATATTTTGGTCTACCCCTAGCCTGGGATGGTATTTGGGTATCTTATTTCGTAAAATATGGTTTGGGGAAAAAGTAATTTCGATTTTTAGGCTTTAATGTCGCATGCCACTGGTTATAGTTATAGTTTGTATGGTGTACAATATGAAAGGTTACCGTGCATGGACATTTTTCGTTTATTCAATCAAAACTAATTGCGATTTGAAAAGAGATTCCGGGTGGTAAAATACACCATCAAAAGTTAATGTTTGAGTAAACGCAAGTGCCAGATTTTGTTTTGGACGTTTTCGTTCTTGAAATTTCGTGTCTCGTTTTTAATATTAAAATGTTTTTCAAGCTAATTTTTTGTTATAATTTTTTATAAAAAATATGGTTTATGCTTTAACAAAAACGATATAAATCACAATTTCAAACTTTATACAGAATTTCAAAAATTCCCCAAACTTATCTAAATTTCGAGCTTTTTAACCAGAATTTTCATAAATTTTTTAGGTATGCAGTTAACAGACTTATAAAATTTTAGTAAAATAAGTGCAAGTTTTGCGCGGCTAAAGAATCGCATAGATTTTTGATACTTTTTTTTTGTTGACGGCGTTTTGCACTTTTTTCCATATAAACATGAATTTCTTGTGGAAGAAAATGCGCAAGACCGCTTGCGAAAAAAATAAAAAAGTCAATTCCAGTTTTCCTTAATTCGCTATTTATATGAAAAAAAAACGGAAAAGCCGTCAGCAAAAAAAAAAATATTAAAACTTATTTTTTTTTCAAGTGTTATTGAGCTTTGTAGCACGATTTGTTTGTTAGGAAAAATGGAAAAACAACAAAGTCTAAGCGGTAGAAGTTATAGCAGCTATTTCGGACTTCAGCTGGGATCGAACCCGCATCATCGATGTGCAAAGACAGAAGCGCTAACCACTGAGCAATGCACACCACCGTAAACTCTTGTTGCTAATCCATTTCCTTTATTCAACCTACTACCATCAAGTGCAGCTGATTCGCCGCTGTTTAAACTTGACAGCGTGGTTTTTATTGTTAATTCCATACATAAAATAGATCATCTATTGTATAGTTTTAGGCAGACTCATCCCAAACTATTTACTTGTCAATTTTTGCACTTATTTTACTAAAATTTTATAAGCCTGTTATCTGCATACCCAAAAAACCTATAAAAATTCTGATTAAAAAGTTCCAAATTTAGATAAAAACGTGTTGAATTTTTCTGAATTCTGTATAAAGTGTGGAAGTGTGATTTACATAAATGGTTTTTGTTAAAGCATGAAACATATTTTTATAAAAAAAATATCAAAAAAATTTTTACCGGAAGAACATTGTAAATATTAAAAACGAAACACCATTCATCCACTTTTGACCGCCACTGTACATATTTTGACGTAAAGTTTCGGCTAATATCCAGTTAGATTTCATTAAGCTAAAATTATGTTTGATATGGGGACAGCCGCTGTGGCTGAGTGGTTAGAGGTACTAACTGTATCTAAATTAGAAAGTTTTTTCTAACAGTGGTCACCCCTGGGCAGGAATGTATTTCTGCCATGAAAAAGCTCCACTTGCCGTTCAAAGCCGGCGTAAAACTGTAGATCCCCCCATTTGTGTAACAACAGCAAGACGCACACCTCAAATTTGAGAAGCAATATGATCGTGCTTGTTTATACAACAAAGGAAACGCAGTTTTAGCTCATCCCATTCTTCTAATGGGTTCGACTTCAGGGAGCATATTGGACTCGATAAAAAGAATTAAACCTATATTTTTATTTTGAACAAAAAAATTTTTGGAGGTGGCGCTAATGTTTTTTTTATAAAAACGCTGATGTTTTAAATTTTTTTATTTTCGTGACATGTTATAGTGCAGCTAAAGCAACGTCATGGGTTCAAACTCATTACCAGGGGATTTCTGGGGTCGCTGTAGGGATGTTAATTTTTCGGCTTTTTCCGATCCCGGGATTAGTCCCGGGATTTAGATATTCATTACTTTTCAACAACTTGAATCGAAAAAATTGCTTCGATATTGTTTGAGAAGCTCTCCTACCATGAAATAAATAATAAATAAATGGGTTTGAAGCCTAGTTTTTATTTAAAGTGGCGTTTTTATTTTTTCTCTCTGACCGCAGGATTTATTTTGAAGGACTTTGTAATTTCAAGGATATGATTAATTCCAAAAATTATTAAAAAATTCAATGCAATGTACAGTGTTGCCAGAGAAAAATTTCGTGCGGAGCTAAAACGGTCGAAAAAGAGCTAAATAATACTAATAGTAGCTAAAATAAAGAGCTATATATTTTTGTTAAGGTTGAGCATTTATTTACATTTTCGGCAATTTTAATAAAAACAACGAATTTTATAAGTTTAAGTGCTGAAAAATCTTTTAAAACCAAAATACGGTGCATATACATATTTCGAACTGTTAAAGTCTGTAATTTCAAATATTTGGATGGAATAATTTTTTCTCTAAATTTTTCAGGAAAATTTTACTTCCAGCTTTCCTTAAAGGTAAAATTAGTAAGGTAAAACAAAATCCGCGCTATCAGAAAAAGGATTTTCTTCTAATTAATTTTTGAATTCTTTAACCTAGATCCAAGAATTTATGGTGGACACTGCATTTCGAAATTTTCCATTTTATCAACGCTTAAGTTTTGGCTTATATATACCAAATACAACTAAAATTTTCCGAAGCTAAAAAGTGCAATATAAATTTGCAAAGAGCTCAAGAAAGAGCTAGGAGCTAAAACCCAATTTTCGGAGCAAAATAGAAAAATAAAGTGCTAAATCTAGCTCCAAAAGCATTGCCAGCGTTGCCGGCAATGTAGAATAAAAATATGGGTAGCAAATGCAATAGGAAATTAGTAATTTAGAATTTAAAAAATTAAAATNACTAGAATTTAGTAATTTAGAATTTAAAAAATTAAAATTGTGTGGGTTCACAGGGACGAATAGGTAATTTTTAAGCTGACAAAGTTAGAAGAACGAAATTCGAGGACGTAATCGAGTTTATATAAGCCCTTAACATCTAATTTTTTCAAAAACAAATATAAATTCTACAGGAGTTCCTCATTAATTTTATACCCATACTTCTTCTCTAAGCACATTTCTCTGAATTTTTTTAACCATTTTTGAATTACTGACGTCAGAGTGAAAAACGCAGTTTTACTATATTTAGCCCATGGTTTCGCGAAATATATTGAATATTTGTGTTTAAAATTTACTATCGCGCGGTGTTATATGTATAATGAGCTACACATCTATTAAAAAATATTAATTATTAAAGAAAAAAAGAAATATAGCCAATACTGGTCAAGAAAAGGAGTTTCTATTATTGCCATAAGTGCAAATTACAAATCCCGAAAATCCCGGGATTACTTGCCAAGAATCCCGGCATTTTCGAGACCTTAAAAAGTCCGGGATCCCGGTATCCCGGGATTAACATTCCTAATCTGATGCCAGTTCTTCAGAATTCAAAATTGGGGATCAAAAATGAAGATCAATTTATAAAAAAAATGTCTGGATTGGTTCGAAACTCGGAATTCGGGAATTTTTGGGGTCGCTGATTACGAATCTGAAGTAAATTTTTAAAATTCAAAATGGCGGATCCCATTTTGCTATAAAATTCTTAAAAAATTACTAAAATTAAAACGTTGATACTGAAAGTTCTAAGTATTGTCATGGGTTGAAACTTGTTACCAGTGGGTTTCTGTGTACGAATCTGATGTCAGCAGATTTACAAATTTCAAAATGGCGGATCCAAATCCAATCACTTATTTTTTAATTGATCGCCATATTGGATCCGCCTTTTTGAGTTAAAAAAAATTTATTTCAGATTTGTAATCAGCGACCCCAAAAACTACCGAGTTTCGAACAAATCCACTCAGTTTTTAAAAAATTGATCGCCATATTGGTACCGCCTTTTTGAGTTTTGAGAAACAGACATCAGATGCGTAATCAGCAACACCAGAAACCCCCTGGTAACGAGTTTGAACCCATCACCATGTTTAAAACGTTCAGTATCAACGTTTTAATTTTAGCAGAGTCTTTTCGAAAGCATATTTTCGGGCACTAGGCCTATTCTAACTGTCCACGACAGGTATGTAATTAAGGGAATATTCCCCAATAATACCCGAGTAATTACATGTAGAAACAACATTTTAGCTGCACTAAAACATGTCCCGAAAATAAAAAATTTAAAACATCAGCGTTTTTGTAAAAAAACCGACAAAATATTTTTTTTTTTAATTAAAAAATCCCTTTTTTACCTTCCTTTTATTAACTCGGGATGTAACTATGTAATATTGATGCGCCTAAAAGATGCAGCGATTTCTATTCTCAAGTCACATACCTGATGACAGTACGAATGGCAATTATAATGGGAGGTTTTAGTTTTTTAAACTATAATTTTATTATTCTCACAAATAACAATATTTTGATGTAGCATTTATGAATTTCTAAAAAGAGTATTTTTTTGAACCACTCTAATATATACATATATACATTTTTTACAGACTAGAATCGAAGGTAGCGTTTAAATTTTCTGGGCTTGAGATACGTTTTTTTATTTTTTTCTAAGATTTAATTTTTTTTTTATTTTGAATGCACTCTTTTTCTTTATTTCTTTTCTTCAATAACATAGCTATTTGCCCCTACCTTTAGTAATGCCCGCTAATATTTACAACGCGAAGAATAATAGAGTTACTCAGTGACTTTTACATAGCGTTAAAACGTCTGTACTGAACATTCATCCACTTCACACTTCCACTCGAGCAATTGGCCGTGTAAAAGTTGCAAATCCTCGACTTTGGTGAAGTAATTTAATGGTGTATACTTTGCATTATGTCGACTTTGGCGCCTTCTCGCCGTTTTCGTTGACAATTAAGTTGCCAAAAAGCACAGGTCGATCATATTAGGCATAAACGAAAAGGAAAAAATTTCGGAGCAAAATTTAACTTGGTATCGGGTTTCGATACGAATACTTATTTTTCGATACCTACTAAGTACTTGGTTCAAAAGTATCGATGCCAAAATTACTTGGTATCGAACGAAAAGTATCGAGTATGTACTTGTATTTACTCGTATCGTTTCATCCCTAGGTGAGGGTAGGTAGATAGACAGAACAATAATGTTCTGGTGTTGGTTGGAATGAATTTCCGTCAGCCATTGTCAAATTTGGTTTGGATACAAAGCAGTGTAATTTTTCTTTCGGAAAGACAATTGGCCTTATCATGAGTTTCATTTTCCCCGAACCGGTTCACTTTTCAATTTTGATTTCCATATATTTACTATGAGCGGAATAAAAATTTTCGGGTGAAATTTTTTCGGACGAAACTCAGGATAAGGCATATATATAATGATATAGAACAATCCTAGGGGGTGCCGGCATTAAAACTCCGACTTTATTTTTTTGGACCACTCTAACGGCCATTCATTCGACCAACCTTATACAGTTTTTCTTGTTTTTGTCTTTTTTTATACAAAGCCTAAGAAAAAATACACTTGAAAAAGACTTGCGTGCCAAATGAACTTTTCTCTCAAACACTGCTGGCAAATGTAAATAAGGATTAAAATTTAAAAACTAATTAATAAAACTAAAGTAAAATCTGTGGAAAATTAACAATAAAATACTTCTTTCGCAAAATCTACATATATATGACCCTTTTATTTCTCAAAAAAAAAATTAGTCCCCACGCTGTATTTATTTATTTCAAACTGTACATAAAACTTGCATAAATGTATTTTAAGGAGCATACTATCTGGATCGAATTTTCAGTATTTTCTGGTAATATATCTTTAAAAGTATTTGTGTGTGGGGATTTTTTATCTTGATAAAAGCATTTGTAAGATGGCTTACAACCAGTATGTTCGTTGCATTGGAACGCAAATATGCTTAAACAATTTTAGAAAATTTGGTTTTGTTATTTATGGCCTTATAACAATTATATTCAGCAACAAGTGCGTAAGCAACTGGCTGAGTCAGCTGGGGTCGTCGGTTCGAATCCCGCTGAAGAAGTTTGATTAGGATATATAGCTATCACTTCTACCATTTTTTCAAATTATTGTTGCTTTTCCACAATAAGTTTTCA